TGAAACGTTCCAGACAGAACGACAACCCTTAATCTACCTTACGTGTTATTACAATCTAGTCTAATGACACTCTTTGAAACGTTCCAGACAGAACGACAACCCTTAATCTACCTTACGTGTTATTACAATCTAGTCTAATGACACACTCTCTGAAACGTTCCTGACAGAACGACAATCCTTAATCTACCTTACGTGTTGTTTCAATCTAGTCTAATTTCATTTATGTTCATATGTAAGGTGGATATTACTTACACTTACCCTATTTCCTTCGCTTGCCAGATTTTCCAAGAAAACCATTAACGTATCTAACTTTTTCTTTGTTTTAACGAAATAACGTTCGCTTGTTTCAATGTATCCACGCTTACCTTTATTGAGTTGTATCATAAATTTGACCCATGGATTAGCGAAGAAAACTTATGAATGTGCAGGCAATGCGTCACCGATTTTTTTTCTTCATAAACGTCAAAATGTAACTTTGAAAGTTGACCTATAATTGACAACATTTATATAACACCTTAAACCGATAACTTTTATATAAGTTACTTAAAGCAAACTTGTTCTTATACTTGGTTTTTAAGTCTGATTATAACTTTTATAATTATTTGTTATTGAAGCTTTTCTTCTAGACAGAACGACAACAAGAGAAAAATAAATATCGTATGAGGAGCTTGTAAGCATTATCTTCAGTTTTAAAGCCCACATTGGACTTTTCACATAAAAAATATCAAAATCTAACGGTTGGTTTTGGTCGAGCAGAATCGCTTTCAAATTTCATAACGGATATTTTATGACGATTTTAACCCCAGAACCTCAAAATCAACTTTTGACCTGAGATACAATGGTTGTAAACGTTGAGCTTTGCCAATCTTTCTTCATTCTTCGAGTTTTTATCTTGTTGCTGAAATTTCATTGTAGCACGGCTTACATGAAAGGCGTGGTTAACTAGAAGTATTAGTTTGAGAGTAAATAATCTATTGTTGTAAATTTGAAGCGTTAGAATGGGTATATTAGACACTTTCCATTTGTTCTGTAGTTCTAGATGTTTTTAACAATTTAGGTATTTCATCGTGTTTTAAACCTTTGCCCATATGACCTTTAATGAAGGGCAATGCCATTACTTTTCGGTAACTAGATAGCTAAGTGTTGGGCTAGAGACAGACCAAGTATCGTAAACCTACCCTTCTGGTGCTTGTTAAGTAATATTCAGATACCCTCACCCGAATACCCTATGATGAACTATGAACCTGTCGGAATGATTGATTTGATATTAATCTTAATACAAGAAGAAGTAGAAAGTTAGGCGTTTCTATTGTACACAGCATAACAAAAGCCCGATTACTAATGTTAAACTACTACAGAAAGATATAGATTTTTCTTTTTACTTTTGAACCCTGTTACAATGAATGTAAGTAAATATCAATACTATTCAATATCCTCTATAGCACATCATCTGGGCTAATAAATGACAAAATATCAAGACCCTAGGCTTCCTGATGCTTGAGGAAAAGCATCATCCATACCCGAATAACCCTAATTGTAACTCTGAATGAAACATAAACTTACGCATTGAACTTAACAAAATACATTACAGGTTGCATATTGCTGATCTACTTAAATACTCGAAAATAAGTCAAGTGTCTAAACATTAACGAAATATTTGTCTGTGAATTTGTTTCTAAATGTATTTAACAAACGCCAAAAGGTGTGTGGATATACCAAAGCTATACACTCACGGAAGATGGGAAAGTTAGTCGATCGCATTTTGGTCCTCCAAACAACGAACATCGGAAACCACGGGACCTACTTATCAAAGGGAGAGATACGCTGCATAGATAACTGAAATAAACACTACAACAATAAAACCCACCAGCGGTAATTCATAAATACAAAAGGAAACAAAGACTCATCGATTCAGCTCTCCCTATCTACCCCTTTTCCCGTCGTGAGAGTAATGATATAAAAAAACGTCCACATTCAGTGAATGGTGTTGGCACGACAAACATGGCTGTGTAGAGACTGCCCTTACATATGTCATGTAATACTGTCATGTTGACACCCTTTTGTATGCGGAGGACGTATGGTATAACTGTAACAGGTCTTTGTCAGTCACAAGGAACTACATGTGTGGATCGATCAACAACCAAGAGATTGCAAGGATAATTATATCAGCCAACCAGTGACTACAAGTAGAGTGATTGTAATCAAGGACAACGTCTATGGGTTCTTTAGCCCTGAAGAGACATGTGTTTTCAGTCCTAAAACATCCCCGGTACAGTGTTTTACGTCGCAACAAGAACTCACCCCTTCTTACACAGCATTGAATAACCATTCCTACCAGACATTTCAAAAACGTTACCATCACAGTAAATTGATATTTGTACAGTATATCATTTTTAATTACAACATATATGAAGTTGACCTTTAAATTTCTTTTTATAATAACGGGAATGTTCATGTAACAATGTCATATACATACATATTTAAAATCAAGCATAATTTTATTCAACGCACGCATCAATAACGATATCACTTGTTTCACATGACACCAATGTATCATGACTTTATCAACTGTTCTCACCTGGCACCACTATACCATGACGATATCAATTGTTCTCACCTGGCACCATTCTACCATGACGATATCAATTGTTATTACTTGGCACCACTCTACCATGAATATATCAACTGTTCTCACGTGGCACCACTCTACCCTGATGATATCAATTGTTCTCACCTAGCACCACTCTACCATGACGATATCAATTGTTCTCACCTGGCACCACTCTACCATGACGATATCACCTGTTTTCACGTGGTACCACCCTGCAATGACGATATCACCTATCCTAACGTGGCACCAATATGTCATGAGGATATCACCTGTTCTAACGTGGTACCACCCTACCATGACGATTTCATATATTCTAACGTGGCACCAATATATCATGATGATATCACCTGTTCTGACGCGGCACCACCCAACAATGACGATTTCATATATTCTAACGTGGCACAATTATGTCATGATGATATCACCTGTTCTCACATTGTACCATCCTACAATGACGATATCACCTATCCTAACGTTGCACCAATATGTCATGAGGATATCACCTGTTCTAACGTGGTACCACCCTACAATAACGATATCGTGGCACCTTTATGTCATGATGATATCACCTGTTCTCACGTGGCACCTTTATACAACAACGATATCACCTATTCTAATGATGTACCATTATGTCATAATGATATCACCTGTTCTCACGTGTTACCACCATGCAATGACGATATCACCTATTCTAACGTGGCACCAATCTACCATGACGATATAACATGTTCTCACGCGGCACCACCCTACAATGACGATATCACCTATTCTAACGGGGTACCATTATCTCATGATGATATCACATGTTTTCACGTGTAACCACCCTACAATAACGTAATCCCCTATTCTAACGTGGCATAATATGTCATGATGATATGACCTGTTCTCACGTGTTACCACTCTGCAATGACGATATCACCTATTCTAACGTGGCACCAATATATCATGATATCACCTGTTCTGACGCGGCACCACCCTACAATGACGATTTCATATATTCTAACGTGGCACAATTATGTCATGATGATATCACCTGTTCTCACATTGTACCACCCTATAATGACGATATCACCTATTCTCACTGGCACTAGACTACCATGACAATATCACGTGTTCTTAAGAGGCACCACTGTGTCATGACGATTTCACGTGTTCTCAAGAGGCACCACTGTGTCATGACGTTATCACCTCTTTCACGTAGCACCACCCTACCATGATGATATCACCTGTTTCACGTGGTACCACCCTGCAATGACGATATCATCTTTTCTAACGTGGCACCATTATGTCATGATGATATCACCTGTTCTCACGTGTTACCACCATTATGTCATGATGATATCACCTATTCTAACGTGGCACAATTATGTCATGATGATATCACCTGTTCTCACGTGGCACCCTTTAACAATGACGATATCACCTATTCTAACGTGGCACAATTATGTCATGATGATATCACCTGTTCTCACGTGGTACCACCCTACAATAACGATATCACCTATTCTAACGTGGCACCATTATGTCATGATGATATCACCTGTTCCCATGTTGTACCACCCTACAATGATGATATCACCTATTCTAACGTGGCACCTTTATGTCATGATGTTATCACCTGTTCTCACGTGGTACCACCCTGCAATGACGATATCACCTATCCTAACGTGGTACCACCCTGCAATGACGATATCATCTATCCTACATGACATCAATATGTCATGAGGATATCACCTGTTCTAACGTGGTACCACCCTACAATAACGATATCGTGGCACCTTTATGTCATGATGTTATCACCTGTTCTCACGTGGTACCACCCTGCAATGACGATGTCACCTATTCCTACGTGACACCAATATGTCATGACGATATCACCTGTTCTAACGTGGTACCACCCTACAATAACGATATCGTGGCACCTTTATGTCATGATGTTATCACCTGTTTTCACGTGGTACCACCCTACAATAACGATATCGTGGCACCATTATGTCATGATGATATCACCTGTTCTCACGTGGCACCTCTTTACAACAACGATATCACCTATTCTAATGTGGCACCATTATGTCATGATGATATCACCTGTTCTCATGTTGTACCACCCTACAATGATGATATCACCTATTCTCACTGGCACTAGACTACCATGACGATATCACGTGTTCTCGCGAGGCACCACTGTGTCATAGCGATATCACCTGTTCTCACGAGGCACCACTGTGTCATGACGATATGACCTGTTCTCACGAGGCACCACTGTGTCATGACGTTATCACCTGTTTCACGTAGCATCACCCTACCATGACGATATCCCCTGTTCTCGCGAGGCACCACTGTATCATGTAGTGTTCCTAGCCAACGTACGTCCATTAGCATATGTACAGTTTTCTAAAACCAATATATTTTTATGTGACGTCACCTTGACTTTAGACTTGCCGCCGAACCGATTTACCAACATACAATTTGTAGCAATGGAATACTAGCCAAAACATCGATTGTTTTCAATCGTTCTTCCTTTTCTGTTGGACTCGTTATCGGTGAACAGTCTCTGGTAGGCTAGTCTAGGCGTTGGCAACCGCCTGTGATGGCGGTGGAGATAGATCCTCTACTGCGGTTTTCTCTCCCTGTGACGCCCCATCGTCCACAGGGGCTACTTGGGTAGCTTTTCTCGCTTCCTTCTTTTTTGTATCGTCTGAATCGGAAGAGGATCGCATGGCGTCTTCCTCTTTCTTGATCATCGTACTCTTTAATCCCGAAGGAAGGAACTCGTAAAAGGCCATTCGGAACTGCTTGTTCGTTGCGATGTATACGATGGGGTTGAGAGCTGCGCTACACTTAGCTATTATGGGCGGGAATCCTGTTACAATTGCTGGGACACTTTCTGGGGCGCTAAAACATGTCCAGAAGGACACGATGGCATAGGGAGACCATGCAAAAACGTACACCACTACAAAGGAAAGAAAAAACAGTAATTGACGGATGGTAAAATATTCATCAGTATCAGTTATGCTCACCAATTCTTACGTATCATAAAATACGCGTCTCCCCACCAATACATACCTATCATAAAATACGCGTCTATCTTTCAATACTTACGTATCATAAAATACGCGTCTATCTATTAACACTTATCATTATATACAGAATCGAAGATGGCGACCATAGAGTATGGACGTGTGTTTGTGAGCTCCGGTGTTTAGATTTAGAGATATCATTACAGAACAACCACCACTACAAAATTTGACACGCAACATCCTCAGGAAGCAATGAGTGCGGTGAGTTGAAAAAGGGAGACTATAAACGAAAATTTTCGGAATATTCGACTAATGTTTGTAAATGTATTGACTCTATACGTTATCGCATACGCCATAATGAACACTTGTCACCTGTTGTCACGCATGAGTGTCTGAATATACCACTTACCAGGTACAGAAATACACGCACGTGTTATCGGAGAGTGCCATCCGGACTTACTCGCTATACAAAAAACTTGAAATGGAGAAGACTCCAAAAAGAGTTTTATCAACATATTCAGACTCCAGTTTTGACGTTAGTCAAATCAACTCTTCGTCGAAGGAAGCAAAAAATACAAAAGATAAAAAAAGACAAACATAAAGTTAAAACACCGAAAATTGATAAAACCCAGCCTACTATAGAAGAAACCACTGGGATATAGATAAAACTAAAGACAACTCTGAGGTAAATGCACGATTAGAGAGAATTAAGCTACTGCTCAGTAAAGTTGTCACCATAGAGGACATGAAAGTTCAAATGAAAAATTTGGTCACTACAGAGCAACTACAGGCAACAGTTAAAAAACTTTCCCGGAATTTCGAAAAAACTATCAGTGTATTAAAGATAGAACACGAAGACAACTTAGAACGAATAAAAGGTGAGATGCACGACCTAGCAATAGAAAATCAAAAACTAAAGAAAACTGTTGAAAAAATCACTGCCAACAGCGACGAAAAGTTTATTTTCTCAGCCAGGAATCCCATGCAAATAATTCCATCTTAAATGACTTGGAACAACATGGTAGGGCAAATAGTATCCGGATAGTGGGACTGGAGGACAGCAACCCCAATGAATCCGTAGAAGACACTGTCACTTTAGTCGTCAAGTTATGTAACGCTAAACTCGGAATGAAACTTGACCCAAACGAAATCGACACTGCGCATAGACTTGGTGTTCACAGAGCCGGAAAAAACCCGGGCCGTTATTTGCAAGTTCGTCCTCAGGCGCTCAAAGTTCAATGTGATAAAAAACAAACCCAAACTAAAGCAATCTGGTATAGTGATCATGGAAGATATCACACGTAAAAATCAAGAACTGATGTCGAGAGCCTACCAATGTCGCGATAGTGAGCTACAAGGAGCATGGGTGATGAACGGAAAAATAAAAGTAAAAACATTGAACGATGAAGTTCGGCATATCCGGAGTCACGAAGACTTAGATGCCATACTCTCATCTCAAGCAAATCGCATATAACTCTGTTGTTTATGTTTGTGTGTACCTGATTTAAACTGTGTTAATTGTAAATAGTACGTAGAAATAAATAATATACCGACAACAATGCAATATTTAAAAACTTACTAAACAGTCATCATAGTCCTGACAACAAGAAAAAATATACATTGCACGAGTGTCCCAAAATCAACTATGAAACCAGGCGGCAATATAGCTGTAGGATCATAGGTGACCAATGTATGACTTGATCGATACTGGTTATTTTTTTATTTATTTCTCGATCATATACATGCATTAAGAGATATATCTTTATCAACCATGGAATATTTAAGAGATCAACGTGTATGTGAGGTTCAGAATCAAATTTGCCTTTGATAAAGTAAGTCCCCCCCCCCCCCCCCCCCCCCCCCCCCCCNAGGTAAGAAAAATATCATATGCCGTTGTTACATATGGATTTATGTCTATAGAGGAAGTACTATTGCAGAACAATATATTTTTGATTCAAATATGTGTGCGGAAAAGTGTATATGACTATAATATGTATATCATTTTACCTAAAATTATGTGTAACATATTAATTTTTGTATCACTATACTTTAGCTGTTTTTATTTTTGTATTCTACTTTTATTTTTTCTTTAAAAATAGGATGAATTACATGAAATATTCTTTTGTTGGTTGTTGTTATTAAACAAAGGAGACAGTTAACTCACCACAATATGTATACAAGGTGAAATGTATCGAATGAAATATAGATTTGTATGTATTTATCAAATGCGACAATCATTTATACTAGGTCAGTCAATATTGAACTTGTAAATGTTTACTATGTGAATATTCACTTCAGTAGTATATTGGAAAATTTTGAATATCATAGATTCAAGTTTATAGACATGGTATTTTAATTATATATTTATGATACATGGTCGATTCATATCCGTAAAAGCGACCCCTAGTAACTGAAAGGTTAAATAATTCCGGTTTTTTTCCACATTGATCCGTATGAGCAAGGAATCTAATTCCGTGGTATGAGATAAGATAAAAGGAATGTTCTTTTTATTATCTGAAAATTTTCAAAATTATCAGTTTATAATACGGCCTTGATAGCATTGGTTAATGCAAATGGTAATCCGGATAATAAAGCCCATGTACTACAATGCATCAACATACGGATTTTTTAACTCCGTATTCTCTTTTCTTCACTGAGAAAATATGTTTTCCATTTGTTTTTCAAATCCATTATAATTAGGTTGAATTAAATACATCCTTATGTATACAGAATAGTATATATTCCGTTCAAGACCATAATCCGGATATGTTTTACGATATGCTCTAAAATCCGGATAATATTTACCTTATTCTGACACATCGTTTACTATGTGAATATTCACTTCCGTAGTATAAACCACATGGAGATGTTTGGTTTGCAGACATTCACAAGTTTTAAAATGTAAATATTAACCTTGGAACGAACTCAAATAGTAGGTATGATGATAAAAGTTTTATTTAAAATCTGCCTGCTCCATACATTAAGTGTTTTAACTATATACTCATATTAAATTATAATTGATCGACAGACATAATCTAAGGCACTTAATTATATAATCAACCATAATATCATAAATATAACATAGGCTAGCTGTACCTGGGTATTGGTATTTTCAGGAGTATGTTTAGATTCCTTTTCAGAATATAAATGTACATAGTGCTTTTTGTCTTTAATTGTTATATGTATTCAGTGTTTTATGTTTGTGTGGTATCGCTTAACTTAAAACGTGGAATGCTTGCAAAGGGAGGAGATCAAATGGAAAAACATATTTGTCACTGACTTTATGATATATGATACTGTCTATAATTATTTTAAAACTATTACAAATGTATGCCTTATCGATAAGACTTACAACTGGTTTAGATTATGTCTGATTGTATAAAAATCATGTCTGCAAACTGTCAGGGCTTGAGGTCAAAGGAAAAAAAGACTTGATGTACTGAATTATTTACAAACAAATTTGAGGGATTTTAATATTTTTTCTCTCCAAGACACTCATTCTACACCTCAAATAGAGAATCATATTGAGTCACAGTGGTTTTTAAGTATATTTTTAATTCTTATCTGTAAAATTGTAGAGGCGTGAGTATTATGTTGAATAATAATTTTGAATTTTATATACACGAAGTTAAAAAAGATAGAGGTGACAATTTTATAGCTGTTGATATTACAATTGAGAAGAGAAGATAAACGTTTGTAACTTTATACGGTCCTAACACTGATGACCCAATGTTTTATGAATACTTAAAAAGACTCTAGATGAACTTGAAAATACAGAAATCATTATATGTAGAGATTACAATATTGTACTTAACCCAGAAAAAGATACCTATAATTATAGAAATGTAAACAATCCTAATGCTAGGCAAAACATACTTGATATAGTTGAAGAATATAATTTATCTGACTGTTTTAGGATACTACTGTAACAGGGATATATATATTTATTGTGTGTAAGACTTAGAATGGATTTTAATATCATGAAAGGTCTTGGTGTAAGGAACCTTAAATGGTTGTTTGGTAGTATAGTTGTGTGATGAAAGAATGTGATGCGAGGACCCTTAATGTTTGTGTTACCTGTATGTAAGAATGTGTGGAATGTGAGTTATTTTAGTCACATGACGTCAACGGACATTTTTATTGGTCATAGCTAACAACTGCATGATTTTTAACTTAACTAATATCACTCAGCACCAAGGCGTTGAAGGGTATAGATCGACTTTTGATATCAGAAGAGATTTGAAGTATTACGAATATAGAGAACTTGTATGACATGTTTAACACTTGGTATACGTAACAACTGCCGGTCGTACGCCGATTATTAGGCAAAGGGATTTCTGTAAACCCCCGCAGGATCTGTGTGGTTTTTTTTAAACCACAGAATAAAAGGCATTAAAGAACCCAACAGTGTTTTGTGGATTGTACACACGAATATAGCACTGTAACAAATGGCGCCCAACGTGTATTAACCTTTGGATGTTGCAGAGTAGGACCGGTAGAGGACAGACAACTGATACTCAGGTAGCTACTTCCGGTATTTGGAATACACCTCATGACGTTTCGCAGGAGCCTGTGATCATATTGTGAGAATTAATTCGTCTTTCAACTTGCTGACAAATTAAACAACAGAGCGGTAAGCTGACTTGTGTTGTTAACTGTTTCCTGATTATCCAGTAACCTATTATAGACTGTGGTGATTTAGTATTCTATATTGAGGAGAGACAACTTGCTATGTGGACACATGTGTGGTATATTGGATACATGTTTTTTTTCCATTGAATGACCTTGACCTCGGCTTGATTGTGTTTACATTCTGAAGTGAAGAGACTTACCTGTATTCCCTGGACCAGTGCAGAAAAACATTGACATTTTCCAATATATTTTTTGTTGCTTCTTATCAATGAAATATTGTTATTGATTTGAGATGGACCGA